GCAGTGGGAGTATTCTAAAAACCATTCCTACACCCAGCCAACAAGCAAACTTAACGAAACTATTGGAAGCCATATACACACATCCCATTTAACACACATTAAATGTATCTCAACTCAATTTTCCCCTAGTTGGTTTTCAAAAATGCCCATGGTCATGGCAAAGTTGGGGATTTAAAAGAGGGGAAGTTGAAATGGAAAGAGGCTGATGTGGTCTTAATTATTGCAGCTGAAGCAGCTCTGAAAATTTTGCAAAAACATATGAACAAGTCCCACCCAGGGCCGTGGAAGGACTGATGTAAGTGAGCGGCCTTGAAGCTTAGGCTTCATTAGCTTCAAGAAGATGCACCTCTGCTCCTGCTGTCTCCCCCCACCCCTCTCCACCCCCACAACTGCCTGGCCTTCATTCAAAATAGCTTCTGTATATGTTGAGATGATTTTGATTTCCAGGGACAGAAACCCAGCTGAAGCAAAATAAATGGAGAATATATTGATTCCCAAACTGCTGGCCTCAGAACAACTGGATGGAAACACTGCCAAGACTCTCCATCTGTCCTTCTCTCTACCTCCATTTCTGTCTCTACAAGTGCAGACTAAAACTTCGACCGTACAGGAGGTTTGGTCTCCGCCAACTCCAGACTCAAATTGCATTGCTTTTCCACTCCAGGGGAAATCCCTCAAAGGACTCAGATTGGGCCAGCTTGGGTCATGTGACCCCTCTAGTGGGGTGCTATGATGGATAGCTCCCCATTAGATCTTCAAGGTTGGAATAGAGAAGAAGGGAGCAGTGCTGTGGTAGACAGAACAATGGTCCCCCAAAGATGTCCACTTCCTAATCCCTGGAACTATGAATATGTTACCTCACATGGCAAAGGGACTTTGCAAATGTGATTAAGTTAGGGATCTTGAAATGGGGAGAATAGCCTGGATTATCCAGGTGGGCTCAATGTAGTCACAGGTCCTTATAAGAAGGAGGCAGGAGAGTCAGAGACAGAGAAGGAGATGTAATGATGGAAGCAGACGTCTGAGTGATGGGGGCCATGAGCCAAGGAACGCTGGCAGCCTCTATAAGCTGGAAAAAGCCAGGGAGCAGATCCTCTCCTATTGCCTGCAGAAGAATTGTAGTCCTGCCAACACTTGATTTTAGGATTTCCAGAACTGTAAGAAAATGAATGTGCATTGTTTAAGCTAATAAGTTTGTGGCAATTTATTACAGCAGCAATGGGAAACTAACACAGGTGCTGAGAAGATAAAATATAAACCCACTGTACCTTTTCTCTCTGCCTTCCTAGTCCTACCCATCTGCTATAGGCTGAATTGTGTCCTCCCCAAGTTCATATGTTGGAATCCTAACTCATGGTACCTCAGAATGTTACTGTGTTTGGAGACAGGGTCTTGAAAGAGGTGATTAAGGTAAAATGAGGTCATATAGGTGGGTCCACTACAATACCACTGGTGTTCTTATAAGAAGAGGAGATTAGGAAATAGACACGTACAAAGGGGAGATGATGTGTGAAGACACAAGGAGAAGATGGCCATCTACAAGCCAAAGAGAGAGGCTTCAGAAGAAACCAACCCTGCAGACACCTTGATCTCTGACTTCCAGCCTCCAGAACTGAGAAACTAAATTTCCGTTAAGTTGCCCAGTCTGTGGTATTTGTTATGGCAGCCCTAGCAGACTAATACACCATCCTTCAAGGCAGAAGAGAAATTCTACCTCCTTTCTCAAACTGTCTCTGATTAGCCAAGCTCACAGTGCAACCATTGTCTCAGAAAACCTAGTGGCCAAGAAAGAAGGACATCCTGCCATTTGCGACAACATGGATGGCCCTTGAGCACATTATGCTAAGTGCAGTAAATCAGACAGAGAAAGACAAATACCGTATGATATCACTTACATGTGGAATCTAAAAAAGCTAAACTTGTGAAAACAGAAAGTAAAACAGTGGTTACCAGTGGATGGGAGGTGGGGGAATAAGATAGAAGTTGTTTAAGGGTACAAACTTAAAACGAGTAGTAAATAGGCCCTAGAGATATAATGCACAGTGTAGTGAATATAGACAACAATATTGTATTATAATCATCAAACTTGCTAAAAGACTAGAACTTAATTATTCCAACCACTAAAAAGAAAGGATAATTATCTAACGTGATAGAGATGCTAATTATCGCTACAATGGCAATCATGTTACAATGTATTGTGTCATTGCACAATACAATATATCAAATCAAAAATAAAAACAACAACCTAGTGGCTGAGAGTCACTAGGATCACAAATGCAAATGCCTACCAGGCCAGGAAGAGAACTGACATGAGCGAAGCGACTAAGGGTAAGAAACTCAGTCCTGCAAATTAAACATCTGCGACACACACCATCACAAAAACCAGGCTCGCTCGCAGACTTCCCATCTACCTTTGGTTTTCTCACCTTTGATGGAGCATGGACACAGGAAACCTTCTTCTGCCTTCCTGCAGTGCTATGGGGTGAAGCGGCAGTGCCAGGGGAGACGCACCTGCCCTCATCTGGCATGCCCAGGAGCCCATGGGGAAGGGCCGAGGGGCATGGGGCTGCAGGCCCGGCCCTGTGCAAAGGGGCAGCTGCTGCTCGGCTCCAGCCGGTTGTCACCAGGGGCAAGTACAGGCCCCAGGGCTGCCACAGTTTTCCAAATTCTCAAACGAAACTGGAAACCTAGATTTAAAACAAAACAAAACAAGAAATCTGATTTTTAAACACTGGCAACTAACTCAAAAAAATTTTTGAATTGTGCTGGCCACCTCACACCTATTAGGATGGCCACTATCTGGAAAACAGAAGATAAGTGTTGGTGAGGATGTGGAGGAATGGGAACCCTTGTGAACTGCTGGTGGGAATATAAAATGGTGCAGCCACTGTGTAAAACAGCATGGTGGTTCCTCAAAAAAATTAAAAATAGAATTACCATTTGATCCAGCAATTTCTCTTCTGGGCGTATACTCAAAAGAATCAAGAGCAGGGTCTTGAAGAGATATTTGTACACCCATGTTCATAGCCAAAAGGTGGAAGCAACCCAAGTGTCCATTGATAGATAAATGGATAAGCAAAATGTGGTATATATACACAATGGAATATTATTCAGCCTTAAAAAGGAAGGAAATTCTGAGATATGCTACAATATGGATGAACCTTGAAGTCACTATTCTAAGTGAGATAAGCCAGTCACAAAAAGACAAATACTGAATGATTCAATATACATGAGTGGTCAAAATCATATGGACAGAAAGTAGAATGGTGGTTGCCAGGGGGTGGGGGAGGTGGGAATGGGGAGTTAATGTTTAACAGGGACAGAGTTCTGGTTTTGCAAGATGAGAAGAGTTCTGGAGATGGATGGTGGTGATGGCTGCACAACAATATAAGATGTACTTAATACTGAAATGGTAGTATGAACCACTAAAAATGGTTAAGACAGGGGCCGGCCTGGTGGTGTACTGGTTAAGTTTGCACTCTCCACTTCGGTGCCCCGGGGTTCATGGGTTCGGATCCCTGGCGCGGACCTACACAGCATTCGTCAGGCCATGCTGTGGTGGCGTCCCACATACAAAAAATAGAGGAAGATGGGCATAGATGTTAGCTCAGGGCTATTCTTCCTCAGTGAAAAAAGAGGAGGATTGGCAATGGATGTTAGCTCAGGGCCAACCTTCCTCACACACACAACACACAAAATGGTTAAGGCAGTAAATTTTGTTATGTAAATACCACATATTGTGTACATACCACAATAAAAAGAATTTGGAAAAAAACGTTCTGGCTAAAACTGTTATTGCCAAACAAGACACATTTAAGGGCTAGATTTAGCCCACAGGCCACCAGTTTGCAACTTCTGGTTTAACACTTAATTTTTTTCTATTTGTTTCATGTGTTCATGTCTTATTTACCCAACTAGAAAGCAAAATTCTATGAAAGTAGTAACTGTGTCTTAAACTCCTTTGGTGTCCTTCACAGCAGGAGCTCAGGGGTCTGCCGTGGGCAAATCACAGGTGCCCTGCCAAATACATGATGATATACACACGCGCGCACGCACACGCACACACACACACACAACTGATGATTAGAAAGTCCCGCAGTACGTAGAGCTGTGACCAGAGGGGGCTGCGTTGCAGAAGCTCAGGACTAAGAGAGAGGGCAGAGCATCTGAAGCTCTAAGGACCCCCCCGCCTAGAATGTGGAGACGGTGTGTCAGGAGAGGGTGGCCGAGCTGGGAGAGTGGCCCCGTAAGCCATGTCCAGGAGTTTCACCTTCAACCTCGATGTTGAAGAGTGAAAGTTGAATGGGAAAGCGCTGAAGGCTCTTGGGGAGTGATGAGGTTGGATTTGATTTTGAGGTAAATCATAAAAACTAGAGCCTGGAACACTTTGGCTGACAGACTCAGGGAAAAGCTAAATGCTCCTCAGCAACAGCTCTCGGGGCCTCACCAGCTCGTGTGTGGAGAATGAGGAGGTGGGGCCCAGGGAAGAAGTGGGGGAGCTTGGGAGGTGGGGGGCGCTTCAACGAGAGGGGTAAAGACTTGAATGAGTGCCCCATTCAGAGCAGGTTGCTGTGTGTGCGTGCATGTGTGGGTGTGTGCACACACTTGTAGTTGGAGTAATTCTTAGGTGGATCTTGGCAAGCTGACTGTCCAGTAGGTTCTGCCTGTTTCCTTCCTTTCCACCTTTGCTAACCAGTCCCAGGCCCTGGTGGTGCTGAGGTCCGGCCTTCAGATTGTCTTTGCCCCTCGGGACACCTGGAGGAAATACTGAGAGCTCTGGCTTTAAACAGATCCCAGACACGGTGCCAAGCACTCAGTAACCCATAGCAACCCCTAGAGGCTGCTGCAGCCTCAGCAATGAGGAGGACGGTACCCAGGGACCTGCTGGCTCCCCAGACACAGGAATGGCCAAGCATTGGTGATCACAGAGTGACCACAGTCTGTGCGTGCACAGGATTCTTGGGCTGACAGATCTGAAGGGGGAAATGCCCACTCCGCTAACATCCTTCTCTGCGGAAAAAAAAAATATCAGAAGAAATGGTATGAACAAAAGATGAGACTTCTCCACTGGCCAACAGGGACTGACCGTTTATTAAGTGTATTTCTTTCAGTTTACTCAAGGGCAGTTCTTCAGCACTAGTACTTCAATTTCTTCAGAAATAACTAACCAGTGGTGCCTCATAAAGTCTGGAAAACACTGCGTCAGAAGAGCCACGTTGAGGGGGCAGTTCGGGGAGGGATGGAGCGTGGGGATAGGATCATTGTCTTTGGAGGTCTAGTTATTAAGAACTGGGTGGCCACTGGACTGCTGGTCCCAGGGGTTTGTACTTGGTAATGGAGGCTTAATTCTTCATTCCCAATCTTGACCATGGATGCCCCATGATCGTGGTCAAGACATACTCAAATCAATCTGCATTTCTGAATATGAATGGGGGTGCTTCCAAAGGAGCCCAGAGCTCTGCATTGTCTCTGTTAGCCTCTGGGTCCTCTACTCTCTCCCTGTGCTCGATCTCATCTCCCTACTTCCTCTGCAGGTGGCACAAGGATTCTGCTTGGTGCTTCCCCTAAGCAACCAACAGCAGCCACTAGAAACACCTGTAGCTTCAAGACAAGTCCCCCGCCCCTGCTTCCAACCAGGTTACAACTCCTACACCCCAAGATGGATGTTAGACCTCAGCGCAGGAGGTGGTCATGATCCCTGTATGACATAGGGGCAGCCATGTTATGGGTTTCGCATAGGTGACCTGAGAGAGGTCACCTAGAGGTGCACTGAGAGCGAAGGGGCTGGATGAGATGGAGGCCAAGAATGCCCCAGTTAAATGGGTGCCCTCATTTAGCAAAGAAGGGTTCCCATCTACATATTTTGCTCCCATCCTACTCTCGAATCACCCATCCTCTGAGTTTGACTAGATCCCATGTTATCCCACCCCTCTCTAGGCTCAAGGCATTCACTGCTCACCCAGCCAAACTGGACCACTTGCTGCCTCCACGGGCCTTTACTCAAAATGCACATTTGATGGAGGGCTTTTCAAGTGACCATTTTGACCCAGGAGATGTTTGGTGTGACCATTTTAAAACATCCTCCAAAAAATTACTCAAAACACTGCTTTCCCTTAAAGTTTAAAAGCAGCCCTAAGTGAAAGGGAACAAACAAGGGATCAGGTGAGGGCTCATATAGAAAGATGGGTATGAGATCTGCTGAACACATTACTCAGTAACAACAACAATAAAAAAATAAATATTTAATAATTTGGGTTTTTCCTCAGCTACTTAAAAATATCCTTCACACTAAAATAGCTGCTTCAAGATCGCCACGTCAGCATGTCACAAGCCTGCTCTTGTTTCCTCCATCTTCCCACTCTCTGTGAATGCCTTCTGGTGTAGTTGACAACCACTAACAGGAGTTTAAGCTGGACAGACATTTATGAACTCACATCACAAGAAGTCTGCAAGTAGGTGATTCCTGGCATCGATTCAGCTGCTCAACAGAGCTGACAGGGACCCAGCCTCTTTCCGTTTTTCTGCTACCACCATTAGCAATTGGCTATTAGTTCTCACTCTTGTCACCTCATAGTTGAAACATGGTTGCCATGGTTCCAGGCATCATAGCCTCATAAAGGCAGGAAAAAAGGGAAAGGGACAGTAGTTAAGAGGCTGCTGCAATTGACCTGGGAAGAACTGAACCAGAATGAACCTAGTGGCAGTTGAGATGGAAAGACAACAAATTTGAGATATATTTAGAAGGTAGAATTGACATGACTCAATGGTGGCAATGATGAAGACGACGCTCTGAGGTTCCTAGGTTTGGCGACTAGGTAGGTGGTGGTGGTGGTGACTTTAACGGAAGTAAACGGTACGAAAAGAACAGATCTGGTGTAAGGGAAAAACAATGACCTTGATTTTTTAGTTTGAGGTGCTCTAGGGACATCAATGTACAGACATTTTATAGGAAATTTAAATTGGATCCATAGCTCCAAAAAGAAGTAGGTACTAACTCTGTAATTGTGGTAGTATTTGTAACACTGGTGATAGCTGAAACCATGGAGAGTGTGTAGGAAGGAGGTGCATTGGGCACAATGGAGCCACAGAACCTTGAAGAGTGGTGGAGAAGTAAAAGGAGACCCAGGAGCCTGGTGTTAAGGAAATGCCCTAAGGGAGGACAGAGCTTCAAAGAGCAGGGAGAGGTCTAGAAATCTAGTAAGACCAGGGCTGTGAAATATACGCACTAGTTTTGGCAATTAAGTAACTGATGACCTCACTGGAAGCAGTTTATGGGAGGGAGGCAATGATTCTACCTTATAGTGGTTTGATGAGTCTTGGAAATAAGGAAGTGGAGACTATTCCTTCAAGAAACATGTTGTGAGGTGTGGTCATATGACTCATTCTGGCCCAGGAGTTAAAAGATTGGTCTTCTTGGGGCCCTTGTAGAAGAGATTTTTGTCTCTGTAAAAGACAAGAAGTGAGTGAGGACAGACTACAACTCCTGTCGTGTTTTTCTGTGTGAGGATGTGATGGCTGGATCTGGGGCAGCCATCTTGTGGCCAGGAGGGGAGACATCATTGATGCACTGGGGCTAGCAGAACAAAAGGATGGGATGAGCTTGGTCCTTGGCCTTCGCTGAGCTGATGAACTAACTCTGTAGCCACCTACCTCCCAACTTCTTTTTAGGTGAGAAAAATAAATCCCTGTTGCTTAAGCCACTTTTATGCTGCTTGTAACTGCTATGGTGAGCACACTGTTCTTGAGATGTGATAAAAATGAACTCTATTGTTGTTCCCCACCATCCCTGGAAGCTATTCAGTGGAGATAACATCTTCCGACTTCCAGACGAAAATTGATAGACCTATAACTTTGGTCCTCACCCTTAGGACAGACAGTCTGATGTCACTTTCAACAGCAGACGCAGTCGCAATTCTGGAATTAAAATGGTCCAAGATTAATAAAAACCCTGAACCTGATTTTGCATCAAATTTCCCCTCCCCCACCAGGCCTGTGTCCGGCCCAAAGCCTGAGGTGGAAAGGGGTGCATGGCTGGCTTCTCTCTTTTTCCACCTCATGCTTCTCCTCCTTCTATCCAGCTCTTACCTCTGCCAGCCTGCGGGGTGTGTTTGATCCCTTCAGGTCAGAGTGAGGGCTGGTGAGGGCTGAAGCCACAGGGAGGGTCTTTCTTGAACAGGGACCTCTGTAATGGCTGGGGCTCTCTGGTCCAACAGACGTGAAAGCTGACTTTCTTGCGAGTGTTTCTGTGGGCTCTTAGAAGATTCCATATCCAATGAGTCTTCCCTGCAGTTCCCTTGACCTGAGGGGATGCATCTGTCCTGGGGTCCCCATCCTGAGCCCCACAGGGATGCTGTGTCCACCTCTTGCTTCCTTCTGCTGTGATTCCCCGACCTCCACCCTTGGCTCCATCCAGTTCATCTCACGCAGATTCCTTTGCTCGTGGCACATGTCAGACTGAGGGGAAACAGTGGGCGTCCTCGTGGCTGACCCCAACCCAGCCGTCCTCCACCTGGCAGCCACAGGCCTCGTTAGCTTTCTCACTTGTCAGTCAGAGACCTGCTTTGAGACCTGCTTTAAGGGGAGAGCGGTCGACCCCCACCCCAGCCACCTCAGAAGAAAGCTGAATGAAAAACCAATTCAAGAATCCTCTCTCTCTCCCCTCTCTCAATCCTTTCACGTCGTGGAATCGGTGAGCGGTTTGAGAGCTTATGGAGAGGTTCCAGTCACTCCCTGTGGAAGTTCTACATGCAATGACCTGGCTTTGGAATTTTACCTTTGTATTCTGGCGTCTTGACCAAAACTTTGGTTTACCACCCATCTCTGAGATGCTTATCAGTAAGAAAAATAAACTTCTATCATTCTAGCTCAATAGTCTGTCACCAGCCATGGAAAGCAGCTGAACCGCTTCGCCACACTGAGCTGCTCCATGACTCTCCTGACACGATCAAGTCAAAGCTGGTGATTTATCATAGTCAAAAATCGTAAATGTCCAACAGTGGGTTAAACAAACGAAACACGTACATGATGGAAAATTATGCAGCCATTTAAAATGATACTTTAGAAGAATCCAAAGATAGGAACATAGGAAAATGTTCATGTTTTGTTAAATTATATATATACAGAGGAGAAAGACTAAGAAGAAATATGTCAGAAAGGTCGAAGTCAAATCTGGTTGACAAATGTAACACACATGTATTGTACATGCATAGAAAATAGCTGAGTAGATACACAAGACACAGACGTCAGCAGTTGCCTCTGGGGAGGGGCCCCGGGAATGTGGGTGGGAGGAAGGGAGCATTACTTTTGAAGTTTTCAACCATGCGCATGGTTGCCTTTTTCAACTAAAGAAACGTAGAGTTTTTTTTTTTTTAAGTTTGACACTTTTGGAGGGAAAAGGATAATAACGGTTTTTTCTGGGTAAAAGAATTAATGGAGATTTTTCTAATCTTCTTCTTTGTTCCTTCTGTATTTCCAAATCATTAAGTATTCCTAAAATAATCAGAAAACACACACACACGCACACAATAGAATTGCTCTTCCTCTCCCAGTTCCCTTCCTGAACAATTGAGTGCTAAAGCCATGAGTGATGAGTGGGGCAGCAAGGTGGGGATCCATGTAGGTTGGTGGCCTACAGTGGGGTGGCAGAGGTCAAGCGGGGTGAGAAGCACACAGGGTGGGGGTAGGCTGGTGGAGGAAACGAGAGTCCAGGAGGGGCGAAGAGGGCTTCCTCGCATGTCAAAGCCTGAGCAGGGTGGGGAGGGCATCCATGCACTGGGGTGACCCCCAGCCAGGGTGTCTCAGACTGCAGTAGGGTGAGGAGGGCGACCCAATGAAGAGGCAGCCTGGTGTTGAGTGTTAGACCCAAACCCACCCACATGGGGGAGGGGTGGGCGGCAGAGATGGGAACTGGGTTACACACAGGGCGTTAGGCAAATGAGTAAGTATAATCAAGACAATGGCAGCCAGTGTCTCACTGTTGGACAAGGGAGTGGCAAATATGGAAAGGAAGA